CTCAACTAAAGGTATAGATAAGGGGATTGTATGCAATTTATCCTTAATAAAAATAGTGTAGGATTTTTTCTCACAAAATCCTAATATCATAGGTTTTATGAAATTAACGCTAGTTATAGCCAACGTCAACTTGTGCCAATCATCCTTAGATAATATCAACATCAATCAATTTTGACTAGATGGGCTCAACATGCTTAAAAATCAAATATGTCACAACACATACTTTATGAAATAGGTTGATTCTTCAAACCATTATATTTAGCAAAGATAAATTATTGGACTCAAATATTCCTACTGAGAAAAATATATCAAATATACATACCAGAGTACGGGTGAGCATGGGTCATGCCAGTTCAGGCCGTGAACTGGCGTCTGACCCGAGCCCACACGGGTCAGAGTAGGTTGGGTCTGGCTCTCTAATCCTGGGTCTAGGACTGGACCAAGCCTAGCCCATAATCCACCTAAGAACATGCTAGGCCAGAATCGACGCATGGGTCATGGGTCAACCCATGGGTTTCTTTTTTCAATTTTTTTTAATGTTTTCCTATTTAAAATACATTAAACTTGTATTTATATTTTTAAAATTATTAATTTACCTTTTCCCATTTCAAGATTTTTATTTGATATTATCTATGTGTTGCACAAAGATAAACATCACACAAAAAATATCGCAAACATACAAATATACGTGGTTCGAACTATAGAGAAAGATCTATATCCACAAGAAGTAAATAACTTTTATTTGGTTTAAATTTAAATTATAAATACAAGAGAAAATATTGCAAACATACAAATATACGTGGTTCGAACTATAGAGAAAGATCTATATCCACAAGAAGTTAATAACTTTTAAATTTAAATTATAAATACAAGAGAAAAATATGTTAATTATAAATGCTAAAAAATTAAACACTATAATTAACCCGGGTCGGGCTGGGCATACCATGGGCCGGGCCGGGCTTACCATGGGCCAGGCCTGCCTCTTTGATCCTGGGTTTGGCTAAAAATCCAATTCGACCCATGACCAACCTCTAATGTGGGTCGGGTTAGGCCCGGAGCGGTCTGGGTTAGGCCAAGTTTCAACCCATACTGGGTTGGGCCGCTTCGGCCCACAGTTCAAACTAGCTCATGCCTAACCATATACCATTGACAAACAAAGAGCAGTTAAACAAAAAAGAAAATATTGACAAACCTCATCAACATTTGTTCTCTTGGTACACGCACGTGATCAAATCTTAGAACACCATTATCCATAGTGTTATACGCAGCATTCCCAAATTTCGCTCCAATATCACCAACAGTGATTCCAGGAAGAGGTAAGTGATCAGCTAAACTTCGTATCTGAACTATGAAACCTGATAACCTCAAAATGTTAGGAAATTACGATTGAAATATTGTTTCCTCTATATAAAATTAAATGATTTGTTACGGACATACCATGTACACCATAATCCTGGCCATCGGTAATAAGACGAGCATAAACAACTGCATGTGTTGAAACTTTGCCAAGACCCCCAGGCCACCACTATTATGACAAGCAGTAAATCAATAATGAGAACCCAAAACATTATCACACAACTTATAAACCTATCAAGTAACAACTGAATGTGTTGAAACTTTTCCAAGGCCCCCAGGTCGCCACTATTATGACAAGCAGAAAATCTATAATGAGAACCCAAAACATTATCACACAAGTTATAAACCTATCAAGTACCAACAATAACTTCATACGTAATTCCAATACTTAACTATAGCATACATGTTTTTATTAACAAGTAGCACTAAAACAAGAAAAGAGAGCAAACATAGAAACATCGCAGGTAGGAATTTGTATCAGCATATCAACTACAAATTTACTATCTTTAGTGCTCACTTTGCTTGAAGTCAAAGTAGGGCTATGAATGACAAATTCATCAGTTTTCGGATCAAAAGTTGCAGTTGTTTCAAGTCCCTGAACATTGGAACCATGGCCGAGTTCAGTTTGTGCATAACAACCAATTATTTGCATCCTATATGCCATTGATAACCATTTCTTCTGCTGCTCATCGGTACCTTGTCCTCTTATAGAAGGAATAAACATGCCCTATTAAAAAAAAGCTCAGTGTAAGTCATCTCCAGATATAAAATAAGGACATGAATAAAAAATTAGCCAAAAATAATAATTTTAAATATCATAAAGGAAGCTACGTAAATTAATATAGTAAAAAGATTGCCACTATAATTTAGCTTGTGCAGTGTCCACAGTGTATAAAATCTCGACAAATATATTGATATATTGGTCAATATACCAATATATATAGTTCTACAGCAGCCCACACCGTTATTTACAGGTTTATAGCTTTTTTATTTTTAGAAATTTTTTTCAATATATCAATTGATATTCGCATTATTGACTGATATTTCAGTGTGAAATTATTAGCTAATATGGGGTGTTTCTTTGCGTTTGGTCTTGGTTTTAGGTTCCTCACCGGACCTAAATACAAGTAAAGCTATTCTTATGCTTCAAAACTCATAATCAATCCCAAAAGAAACCCTAATCCTTACAATCAATGACAGATCAAAAAAAATTTGAGGGAGTAACAAGTATTGATTTACATAAAAATAAGATAATATTATATTTGAATTAAACTAGAACGAAATTATAATTCACCCTATTATTCTAATTAACCAATAATAATTATTCAAACTATTAGAATCAATCTAGTATCCAGATTTTTTTTTGGGGCGTGAGGGGGGAACAAGTGTCAATGTCACAGTATTATTTAGTTAATCAATAATTGGTTTTTTTACTTATATTTAGGTACCAATTATCAGAAATTTTCCATTCCACAACGGTGAATTTTAATATGATTCAAATTCTCAAAGTAAAGAACAGTTCGTTAACCATACTTCCTCTTACAGTTTTATATATATGAAGCTTTAGTTAAACTGAAGAACTTATTTGACAGACAAAACTATTTCATTACATTGCATTTTTGCATTGTGTTCATAACTCATAGATGAAAACCATGTGAATGTGTGAATTATTGAACAAAGAAAGTAATATTAGCTCTTTAAGAACACAATCTGAGAGAAAATCCAACTCACTTGACACTTGGTGAGAGCTTAAGAAGAGAAGGATCCGAGAAGTTGAGGAAGAGGAGATATGGGTACTGTCCAGCTGCAAGTGTGGGTAGGCATCTGTGACTAGCAAGAATTAGAGCTTTGGGTTTTGGGTATCAACTTTAGGATGTGAAGAAATATGGGGGAAGAGAGTATTGAAATTCTAGAGACGTAGTTTTTGGCTTTTAGGGTTTGGGCTCATTTGACTTGACTGTTGAAAATATAAATGGACTTTTACTCTTCAATGGGCTAATTCAATTTGTAACAAACTTATTTTAGTTTTTAAATAGATTTAAGGTGAAATTTTTAAAATTTAAGGAAGGCATATTACAAATGTCATAAGGAGTTACATGTAATTTTGTGAACTTTTAAAGTTCCAACTGCACCACTAGGCACCATCGAAATCCGCCCCCACTTACAATGCGATCAAGAAGTAAGGTTCTACTATCAGTTTTTCATCTTAGCATACATCATGATGCAATTTTCTTTGTTTAAAAAACATTAAATATGTTTAGATAACATATTAGAATATTATATTATGTATGAACATCATCCGATATGACACCCTGATATTTACTACATATCTCTGATATATCCTGATTTTCGAAATCAGATATGGATTCTGGGCCTCCAATATTTATTCGATATCCAATATTTGAAACAATGTGTTCATAATAAAATGATTGTCATTGATCTAGAAAAAGCTTATTATAGAGTGCAAACGGCGATAACATGATGGGTTTTAGAAAAAACAAGTATATAATGCATACACTTATGTGATTAAAAGATATGTACATTAGAGTAACAACAGGAATGAGAACAAATAAAGGAGAGATAAAAGTTTTTTCTATTACCATATTTTTAATATTTTTACATTAAGGATCAACTAAGACCTTTTTTTGCATTAATTATGGACCGAATTACTAGACATATTCAAGACGAAGTCTAATGTTAAATGTTATTTTTTTATAATAATATTTTAGTTGATGAGACTAGGAAATGGATAATTTCTAAAGTAGAAATGTGGGGAGAATCTCTTGAATATAAGATATTTAGAATTAGTTCAACAAAAGTGAATACATGGAAGGTAACTGAGTAAAAGTATAAAGAGAAATATGCATATAGTGCACATGGCTAGTTAAGAAATACCTAAAGAGATCACTTCTTTTATTTCGGATCAATTTGTTCGACATGATAGTATGATTGTGAAATGATATGGTTCATCGTATCAAATTATAATAGTTAAAATGGTGTAGTATACCTATGAGATTAAAGGAAAAATTCTATAGAACAATTATAAAACCAACAACATCAAAATATTAGGTAATTAAAAAAATGTATAGTGTAGCATACATGAGAATGTTATGTCAATCTTGTAGATATTCACTAAGAGATAGGATAATGCATTAGTGGACCAAAAACAAGTTGAAGTGATAAGATGATAATTAATGAGGCAAAGAGGACAACATCAGACTTGAAAGAAGTTAGTTGTAAGCAATTAAGAGCATGATAATAGTTAACTTAACAGATGAGATGTTACATAAGGGAACGAATGGAAGATTGGAATTCATTTAACCGACTCCAAAAATTAGCTGAAAAGATTTACTGTTGTTGATGATGGCGATGTTGTTATAGTAGTTAAGTCAATACAAGTTGGCATTATACTAAGACGCTCAAATTTTAACATATTTGCCTTGCAGTTTGACAATCCCATTTTTAATAAATAGTAGTCAGATCTTTAAAGAAGTTCATTGTAGGTAGTCACAAATGCTCATCCTTACCAAAACATTCATATTTTCGTGTTGCTTAGTTAGTTATGCAATTGGAATGAGGAATGATGTGCTCTCTTCCCTCTAAAATTGGTAGAATTAACAATAAGGAGTCATATTCTTGTTATGGTTCATGTTGTTGACTTAAGACGTGAAAGAATATACGTCAATAACAAAGCATTTAACCTAAATTATTTCTATGATAAGCTACACAAGATCATATAACCCATCAAACTCTATAATGGAAGATGTAATCTATTTATCCTTTATAGTAATATAGAAAGAATAGATGCATTATATTCTCAAAATACAAAAACGATAGTTATATTATACAAGAGATGTTGAAATTAAATTAATCCAAATTTTAAACTCTTGAATAAAGATAGATTGATGGTTTATCTTTCAACTACAAAAATCTGCCACATGTCCATCTTTTAATTAGAGTACATTTTAGAAAATCCCTAGTATGTTGGCGTGTTTTTCACGCCACCCGAAGACTTCATGTTTTTCCTAAACATCCAAAACTTTACCCTCATAACCCCAAATGTACCAAAATGTACGTACTAAAGAAATAATTTTTTTAAAATTATTTTTTCAAAAAAAGCTCTTATATTATAAATTTCACCTAAAACCTTTGCTCTTAAAGGAATTCCAGTATAAAGCCCTTCTTCACTCTCTTCCCCTCCATATAATCCCAATCCTAATCCAACCCACCTTTGTTGGTCATCCATTGCTAGTGTCACTGTTGCCAGCCATTTGTTATCTTCGTCTTTTTCTGGCTCCGACAAGGGTAAAGTAAGAGTTAGATTGGAGATAGGGAGAGGGGGGAGAAGAGTTAGAAGGAGAAGGAGCCTCCGTCCTAAGTTAAATATATTTCCCAATTAGATCTCTTTCTATATAATACCAAATATCATTGTATATCATGTTTTTACTTCTTAAGAACCTCACATTTTTATTTGTTTATGAAATTTTTATTTTCATACATTCTGATGTGCACACGGTTTCTTTCAGATTTTATGAATTATATATAATTTGTATGTGAAATTACAATACTTAGATCTTTTTATATTTACATATATATTCTTGGCTCTTTTCCCATTAATATATTGCAGACTTAATGTATAACGATATTCAAAATTGCTAAGGGGGGGTTAGTCATCTAGAACTTAAAACTAGAACTGGGATAATTTGTGGGATAAATTTTTAAGGTGTTAGTCACATAGAACTAGGAAATGGGATATTTTTTTATAGTGTTAGTCAAGTAGAACTTTTGTAGAACTAAAACTGTATTATTTTTTTGATGCGTTAGTCAAGTAGAATTCTACTAGAATTAGAATTGGGATAATTGGTCATAATTATCCCACAAATTATACTACCTATATATATAACCATAAGTTCTCCTCTCTCAAATTATCCCACACATTGGAAAGAATACAATTGGGAAAAAAAATGAAACCCCACCTCCCTCCCTCTTGGTTAGTTTCTCCGCCTAGAAAATTTTTCTGCCATGAAGTCAATCATCCGTTTATTTTTCTGTCTTTACTTTGTTTTTGTGATGATTAGATTTTTTTATTATTATTTTCAAGATATATTACTTTATTGATACCTTTTTGACGTTAAATTACTTTATTATTATTTGTTTGATCTAAGTTTTCTCTCCACAACAATGGTTTAGGTTAAGAATATAGTGTTGGTGGGTTAGTGCTAAAGATATGAGGGCTATTTATGTTTTTTTTATAAGTTAGAAAGCAACTTTGCGATCACATTGATGATTAGATGTTGAATGGTTAATGGTGATATCTATTATTATTAAATCGGCTCAGTAAATTGATTGGGATATTTATAGTTCTTCTGTCGATCATCTGTTTAGCGGTCATGGATGATTCCTGTGTACATTTCATTTATTTGCTGATTTGGTTTCAGCGATCATGATGAGATTGGTCCAAAGGGTTAATGGCTGAAAAATGCTTATTTTTCTTTCTTTATGATGTTATGAGATTTGAACTTCGACATTTATGATCCTCCACTAGAAGCTCCACGAAATGTTGCTGATGCAGACGATGACTCCGATAAAGAAGACGAGTTACAGACTCAACGAGCAGCTGTAGGAGCTTGGAGAAATTCTATGGCAGATGCCATGTGGAATGATAGAAGCCATGTAGGATGATGGAAGTCGAGTCACTCTAGGGATTTAAATTTTTATTTATTTATAAATTATTTTATTATTTGAGATGAATAGTGATGCTTTATTGTATTATATTTTATAGTTATTACTAGAATTTGCTTATAATATTATATTATTTTTAATATATAATTATTGACAATAGTAATTTATACCCATCATTACCCCCACCAAATTATCCTACCAAATTATGCAACTTCATAATATTATCCATCATTATCCCACCAAGTTATCCTACCAAATTATCCCACTTTAAGAATTACTCATCATTGTTCCACTAAATTATCCCAGTATCAAAATATTATCTCACTTTACCAATTATCCCAGTTCTACTTAAAAAGTTCTAGGTGACTAACCCCCCCTAAATGCAAATTCAATTTAGAAGGGAAGCCTAAATGAAATAAAAACCTAATATGTAAATCAAAGAAATCAGACCCATCCGTCTAAGCATGGGCATAACCTGTTTCACTTCTTTTATTATGTCTAACTATGTTCTAGTTTATAGTCATGGACTTAACTACAATTGCACTATTTAACATTATACAATATTTTACTTGCTACATTCCATCAGCTTATAGATGCTCATACTTCTTCAAGCATGAGACATTGCCAATACATGCATACATGAATACTTTCATATATACAAAACTTCATATTCCCCTAATAAATATCTTGAATACCCTCTTACTTGCAATCACTAATCAAAATCATTCAAAAGCTACCTAAATAAGAACTTAACTAGCAGGTAGCATCAGAGGCGGATCCACCTTGACCGAAGTGGTGTAACGTGAACACCACCTCAGTCAAGAGGACCAAAAACCTACTTCCCCCAACTTAAAACCCACACTGTAAAATACTCACATCACTAACAAATTGACCCCACTTATAAATCAACATGACCTTCTCCAATTTCTAAGTCCAACTTCCCACTCGATGTCATCCAACAAAAAAGGGGTAAATTTTAGAAAACGCATCCAAAGTTTTGGCATATCTCAAAAGATTACTCTTAACTTTTAAAATGTAATGGAACCCCCATTAAGTTTTAGGGTTCTCAAAAGAACCCCTTTAACATTTAAGGTTTTGTAAAGAAAAACTCCATAAAAGTGTGAAACACATTTATCATTTGCAAAAATATTTGCCTTCATAATTTTATTCACCATGTGAAAAATATGGTTAATAGAGTTAGGTTTTTTTTAAAGAGATGTCAAAAGGGTTTGCTGAGAACCCCAAAACTTAAGGTGGGTTTCGTGATAGTTTGAAAGTTAAGGGGGTTATTAGAGAAAAAATCAAACTTAAAAGGTTTTTCTCTTAAATTAAACTCACCCTGCAATTCAAGTTTAGAACCTAAGAACCGATCATTAATGACATATATTGAAAAAGATGTACTTGATATGTTATTAATGATACGAATATATACTTTTTTCAATATATAAAAGCTTGTTGGGGACAACTGTAATTTTTTTAATTATTAATTATGTAGTACACCATTTTCTAGAAATTTTGAATCTGCCGCTGATTGGTCAAAGAACATCAAGTGTCATTCTTATTTAGAAAAATCAAGCATGATCATAATTTACTCATTATGAAGTACAAATTACTCATTATGAAGTACAAATTGATAACGTACTCAGAAACTTGTAGCTCATGTCAAAAAATATTTTCGTCGAAGATGTTATATTTGTGTCAAAGAAATTAACAAGGTAATGAAATACTAACCCAGTGCAAATCCACAAAAGAAGGCTCATCCACAAAACGCCTTAATATTGATGCCTCTTCTTCTGTTACAACAAAATTTACAAAATAAGAGTACAAAAATAGGATACAAGAGAGATAAGTAAAGTAACATTATCTACTCAAATATTTTTTATCGAGCAACAAAAATAGTTTTTCTACTAACTTAAGGTAGTAGAACCTATAGCAAGAGTTGATAATACAAACCCTAACCCTATTAGGAGATCTCTTGGGCTTATATAGGCCCTACACAACTTACACATAACCCCTTACAAATATTACTAATGTCAACACTCCTCCTCAAGATGGGCGAAAGATATCCACTAAGCCCATCTTGTCACATCCTCTAATCATGTCTAATGAGCTAAGTCCTTTAGTCAGACAATCTGCTGCCTGGTCCTTAGTTGAAACATGACTTAGCTCTAGTAGTCCACTATCCAACTTCTCTTTGATGAAGAACTTATCGATCTCGATGTGTTTGGTTCTATCATGCTGCACTGGGTTGTTGGCGATACTGATAGCTGACTTGTTGTCACACCATAACTTTATCTTAGCTCCTTGATCCAGCTTCAGCTCAACCAGCATACTCTTCAACCATAACAACTCAGCAACTCCTAAGGCCATAGCTCTATACTCTGCCTCAGCTGTTGATCTCGCCACCACCGATTGCTTCTTGCTCTTCCACGAGACTAAGTTGCCTCCTACAAAGATGCAGTATCCCGAGGTGGACCTCCTGTCATTAGCACAGCTAGCCCAATCAGAGTCACAATAACCCTCGATGCTCACATGTCCATTTTTCCTGAATATCAGTCCCTTTCCAGGTGCACTCTTCAGATATCTCAGAATCTGGTACACAGCGTCCATATGACCCTTCCTTGGATCATGCATGTAGCGGCTCACCACGCTCACTGCAAAAGAGATATCGGGACGTGTGTGACTCAGATAGATCAACCTCCCTACCAGCCTTTGGTATCTGTCACGATCAACTGGTTCTCCAGCCTCAGCACCCAGCTTGAACTTCTGGTCGATCGGTGTAGTTGCAGGTTTACACCCTAACATCCCCGTCTCTTTAAGAAGATCCAGTGCATACTTTCTCTGGGATAAGACAATCCCCTCCGCTCCGCGAGCTATTTCTATTCCAAGAAAGTATCGAAGCAAGCCAAGATCTTTCACCTCGAATTCCTTACCCAGTCTCACTTTGAGTTGGGCAATCTCCTTCTCATCATCCCCTGTAATAATCATATCATCCACATATACCGCAAGCACAGTGATGTAACCTTCATTTCGTCGGAAGAACACGGTATGATCAGCGTTAATCTGCCGGTATCCCATACCTATCATAGCCCGCCTAAATCTGTCGAACCAAGCACGAGGAGATTGTTTCAGGCCATATAGAGACTTCTTCAATCTGCAGACCTTGCCCACTGTCTGTTCTGTGTTGAATCCTGGCGGAATTTCCATGTATACCTCTTCCACCAGATCTCCATGAAGAAATGCATTCTTCACATCTAATTGGTGTAGCTTCCATCCACCATTTACTGCCAGAGAGATCAAGGTTCGAACAGTGCTCATCTTCGCTACTGGTGCAAAAGTCTCATCATAGTCGATGCCGTATGTCTGACTATATCCTTTTGCCACCAGACGAGCTTTGTAGCGCTCAACCTGTCCATCTGGATTCAGCTTCACAGTGAAGACCCACTTGCATCCAACTGCTCTCTTTCCTTTTGGTAGTTTTACTAACTCCCAAGTGCGGTTCTTCTCAAGGGCCCCTAGCTCTTCGTGCATAGCAGCTTTCCATTTCTGGTCCTTCTTTGCAACCTGCCAATTGTTAGGTATAGTAACAGAGTCCAATGATGCAATGAATGCTCCATGAGTAGGGTGGATGTTAGAATATGATACAAACTGAGCAAGATCCCAACCATATCTATCGGGAGGATTTCCCGCATTACTGCGAGTAGTCCTCCGTACAGTTATTGGTGTGGGAGGAATAGGAAGAGAAATGGAGTCACCTTGAGAGGAATCTTGTGGTGGTGTAGGTGTCTCTGGAGTCGGGGCAGGCGTTGGCAAGGGACTTGGCACCAGTGGCACTGTAGGTACTGTTGGTACTGTTCCCGCAATTTGTTTCCCCTTCCTACTATAGGTAAGTAGTTCTCCCTGAGCCGTTGGCCTAACACCTCTTGTCTCAATCTCCTCGTCGTCTTCATTCACTTGCTCCTCCTCAACCAAGTCTCCTTCCCAAGGAATCGTTACAGAAATTGATTTTTCCGATCTCTCACCATTCTCAGACATTGATTTCTCCACATTCTCCTCCTCTCGCCGCATACTTCCAGTATTAGGCGAGTTATCAACGGATGAAGTTACCTTCCGGGTGTAATATGGCTCGAGTTCTCGAAAGTGCACATCCATACTCACAAACAACCTTTTCTCCACCGGGCTCCAGCAAACATAGCCCTTCTGAGTAGCAGAATATCCCACAAAAATACATTTCACCGCTCTAGGGGCAAGCTTCCCGACTGATGGCCTGTTGTCTTTCACAAAGCACACACAGCCAAACACCTTGAGTGGAAGAAGCCCACCATTATCTCCCTTCAACAACTCACACGGAGACTTCCAATCCAGCACTCTCGAGGGCATTCTGTTGATTAGTGCTGCCGCGGTCAACACTGCTTGTCCCCATAATGTTTCTGGGACATTCATAGAGATCATCATACTTCTAGCAACCTCTAAAAGATGTCTATTCTTTCTTTCCGCTACTCCATTTTGAGCAGGTGTGTATGGACACGTAGTCTGGTGTTGTATTCCCTGAGCTGACAAGTATTCCCCAAACGTTTTGTTAGTATACTCTGTCCCATTATCAGATCTTAATACCTTCACCACAGCGCCGTATTGAGTCTGAGCATACCTATGAAAATTTTGAAAGCAACTAAACACTTCACTCTTATTTTTCATCAGGTACAACCAAGTAACGCGGGAGAAACAATCAATAAAAGTAACAAAATACTTGTATCCATTCATAGAACTTGTAGAACAAGGTCCCCAAACATCTGAATGTATCAGTTCGAATACACGAGAACTCCTATGACCAGAACTTACGTAAGAACTTCTAGTAAGTTTTCCAAGCTCACATGCATCACATACAAGGTGCTGCTTATTTGCTTTCTCAAATAGAGATGGATACAACCTACTTAAAACATTAAAAGATGAGTGTCCCAAACGCTGGTGATGAAGCATCAACACACTCTCAGCACTCATCTCAGATCCTACTTCTGCTCTCTCTATCATTGACACCAATGCTGAATCCAGTCCTTCACGATCCAGATACCACAGTCCACTACGCCATGTGCCAGTCCCAAGTCTCCGCCCTGTCCCCTTCTCCTGGAAGATCACCTTGGGAATATCAAAGGAAACAATGCATTTTAGTTGAAGGATGATAGCACTAATGGATAAAAGGTTGACTGGAAAGGAAGGAGCATGCAAAACATTGGACAAAGTTACTGAACCAGTACAATCAACTATACCCTTACCAACCACAGGCTGAAATGTACCATCAGCTGTTTGAATACTATCAGGCGATGCTAGGTGAGTATATGATGAGAACTCACTAGCATTACCTGTCACATGTCGAGACGCACCGGAGTCGACTATCCATTCTGATGATTTGTCGGAAGATATGGAAGCAAGAGCATGTATGTCATCAGTACCTTTGGTCGGATGAGCATAGGTAGCAGTGTTGCCTCTGACGAAGAATGATGTGGATGCCTCCTCTGTCCCACTCCTCCTGTCTCCATCCCCTGCTACTTGCTGCTTTCTCCTGAGTATCGCCAGGAGCGCCTGATCCTCCTCAGTAAAGATCACCTCAGCTTCTTCTCCTCCTTCTGCTATCATCAGATTCGCCCGGTTGCCTGCTCCCCTTCCACCTCGTCGACCCCCACGGCCACGACCACGCCCTCCGAACTGTCCACGTCCACCCGAATCTCCTTCCTTGGATGGCTTGGTGCAAGCATGCCTTAGATGACCTACCGCACCGCAGTTGTAACACTGTCGGGTCTCTCCCCTGGAGCCATTATTGTTAGATTTTACTTGCTAAAGCTGACTTCACCACAGGAAGTCCACCTGTCCCAGCCTTCCCAGCTTAATGCGAGTCTCCTCCTGGATCATAGCTGAGAACAGCCTCCTCAAGCGAGGAATTTTTTTCCTTTTTTTCTTTTTTCGGCTGAGTAGTAGTAAATGCCAATTTCGCTGAGCGAACTCTTGATAGTCAATCCCCCATTAAGAAACACCATAGTCCTCTCTTTGTAGAAATGCCTCCCGCTCTTTACATCCTGGGTCCTTGCCCGCTTGCCCGCGGGAGAAAAATGGTATAATCCAGGCCACAGACGGCTCCAGCTCTGTCTAGATATCTTGTACAGTCCATCTCTCCCTGCGACTGTGGCCGTCAATTCTCCTTTAATTCTGGAACACCCTGCAGGTTTTCCCACTCCATCATATGTTCATCCTTCAAACTTTCTCCCAGACATCCTTCACCTTCTCAATCCACTCCACCGTGGCGGCGATCGTCAGGCGACAGTGAGTTGCAGAAGCCAAGATGTACAGCCAACATATGGAGTGGACTTGCCACTCATCTCGTCCCTCCCGCAGTCCTCATCCGGTTCTGCGTCTTCTCCCGGTCAAGGTAACCCTCCCAGGTTCCTCCTGCAAGGGTGTATCGTCGACCCGTCGTGACCAGCTCAGGTAGGTACTCCGTCCATCAGCTTCAGATCGATGGGTCGGAAAGCTCCAACTCTTCGATGCTTCTTGTCGTGCTTCTCATCAGCGACAACATTCATCAACTCATCAAAAAAAGTTGACACTCCGCATGGCGTTCAACTTCTCTTGATGAATTCTCTCCATCGATCAAAGCTTCAGATCAACACCTGTTCTCAAACCCGTTGTGTGTGCACGTGAAAATTCGGCGCAGCACTTCTTGCTGCCCACAACCAACGAGTAGCATTCTATTCAACAAATTCTCGGTTCTCAGAGCGAAACTAGATCCAACAGTCTATATTATCCATCGATGTGAGATATATTAACTCTTCTGTCATCAGTTCGAGGGACGTGAGTCGCAGGGAACAATGCCAAACTCGAATCGCAATGGTGAAAGGGGGGTCGAGTGGCAGCGGCTAGGGGGGGTGTTGGAGGCGGGTTCGGGTGTGGGAGGCCGTTCGGCGGTGTGTAGCGTAAGGGCGAGCAAAAAAAAAAAACAGGGAAGGGGGCGGGGTCGCTCTGCAGCAAAAATCAAGGGGAGGAGGGTGTATTCGCGTCTGCAGAAAAAGGAGGGCTGAAGGGGGGTCTGGAAGGGGGGTGGAGGTCTGGACTGCAGGGCTGTTCGGCCGTTCGCAGGGGGGTCTGCAAGGGAGGGGTCGGACGGCCAGGGGGTTCGGGTGTGCAGGGGGGGAGGGGGAGGGTGGGCCAAAGGCGGGCGGGACTGCAGGTCCCCTGGGTGCAGGTGGTGAGAGTCGGAGATTGGGGTCTTGTCTGTCTCTCAATGGTGGTGGTCGAAGATGCAGTGGGGGGGACTGGTCGGGGATGGATCTGCAGGAGGGGTTATCGTTGGCAGCAGAGGGGCCGAGCGCGGGTGCAGGGTGCGGTGAAGCCTGCTGACAGTGGGGGGGGCTAGGGTTTAGAGGATGGCTCTGATACCAAGTTGATAATACAAACCCTAACCCTATTAGGAGATCTCTTGGGCTTATATAGGCCCTACACAACTTACACATTACCCCTTACAAATATTACTAATGTCAACAGCAAGTCAAATTAATCAGATAGCTAATGGGATCATAGAAGACCTCATGCATAATTAGGTTTTGAATTATGGAAAATTATTAGCATCATCGATAGTGATGCTTTCTGACTAATCCCACAAACTTGGCTTAGCATCTTTATGATATGAGACAAGACGAATGTTTTAAATATCAATTATCAGAAATATATCATATGGCTAAAATTTATATCAAATTGCAGTTATCGGAATATATTCGAGATAAATAGTAAAAATTGGAGTGTCATATTGAATGGTGAGCATTTATAATATAATATCCTAAAATGTAATCTAAGTACACCTACTGAAATGTAAACATACCAAAACGCCTTGGAGAGAGGACTTAGAATAATTAAGTGGTTGAACTTGAGGGGGGAGAGAGAGAGAGAGAGATGAAGAGGATTGGTTGCTCTAAACACGGTGGGAAACAATGAGTGGGATTGGTGTTTTGATTTTATTTAGGGGGTATCGGGTTCGGGTCTGAAAAATAAGGGTTTTGGCATCCAAAAGCCAACCAATAGTTGGGATGTTTTTTTCTAACAATATCAGCCGATTTAGGCCCTATAAAAAGCGGCCTATTAATCGGATTTTCATTGGAGGAAATTGGTGAAAAATGATAATCTATTTAACTCTCCAAAACTTGTATCGGTAATGGTCCAAATCCTATATGTCAGCGATATATCGATACGATCAACCTACTTTTAAAACACTGGACAAGACCATGTCACAGTCACAAAATAAAGAGGTGCTATCTTATAAATAAATGCTATAAGAGTTGCTGCAATTATTAAGTAGTTCCTTATATTACAGCTATAATAACAAAACAAAACAAAAGCAGAGACAGGAAGCCAAATACCCATTTCTCACTATCAAATGTCATTTTCATAACATGTTATTGTCGATTCTAACAATTTCATACATGTTGTTGAAATATGTGCATAAATGTGGTCAAATGTACAAGAAAAAGAGAAATATACCAGAGAGATGCAGCTCATTGATACGCTTCCAAGCATGAGCAGCTTTTCTTAAGGTATTCTTGAACAACTCCTTTCGATGAAGCATTGTCCTTGTATCCTTGCAAAACTCCTGGATAAAGAAAAGGTGGATAATGAATTGAGTAATTAGTAACCTGCTTTAGTATTCGCTAGGTAGCGTGGACATCAGTAAAGGCCAACACAGGACACACATAATCTTCTGAAACAAGGACACAGCACCATTATAGAAGCATGTGTGTGTCTCTGTGCATGTGTAATAGATAAATTTTATACATGTGTATATGACATACACATTTGTAATAGAATATTTATGTGCGTGTTCATGCATTCAAGAGTGTAGACTATTATTTCTAGCAATATAAAACATAGCCAATACTTCTTTTTTTTGGTCTACCATATATTTGCAGTTTTTGTGCTATTGGTCCTGCAAATCTTCAAACAATTTGGAAGTAGTCCTTCAAGTTGTTGAAACTGCTATTACGTCCCTCAAAACTTACTAGCTCTTCATATTAATCCATGTAGTTAGCTAACATTTGATTTGAGGGGAATACTTCTTCCAAGTTAACTTTGGATTTCCAGGTACATCCATCTGCTTAAGTTTACCCAAACCCCTTTCTTTAAACGGGTTTAAACCCACATCCCTTTCTTTTAAACCCACATTCCTTTCTTTTAAACCCACATCTCTTTCGGTTAAACCCAGACCAGTTGCATCTTCTTCCACAAAGGTTCAATTTCCTTGCCTAACCCATTTTACAACGGTCCAATCTTTTCCCAAATCTATAAATCCCTAAATAAACTGTTCATGAATCCACCATCAACCTACGTTCTGTCTTATAGAGACGATCTTGTGGGGGATGCTCAATTAGAGGTAGTTTTGTAATTAACCATGTGGGGCTTAACTACTAACCTGACCAGAGTTTACACATTAGACAGGAAAACTAATGGAGGGACCAATTTGAAAGAACTAATAAAATCTGAGGGGGACTTCATAGCAATATTAATGGTTTGACGGACTAATTTCAAAATATTTAAGGAATTAATATAAAAAAATCCTATATTTTATGATTTTGTTCTTCACTTTTTACAAAATGTTATCTGTCAAAAAACTTTTTACAAATTGTTAGATATTATCTAAATTTAGTCTTGTGCAAGTCAATATTTTATGGCATTTTCCACTATATATATTATTTAGGGTATAAATGAAAATAAATAGATATTTCAAACACATAATAAAAATAAAAGAAGGGTTAAATTACACTAAAGCCCCAAGAACTTTCAGCTATTTGTAGTACGCCCCCAATAACATTCAAAATCGCACTAAACACCCAATAACTGCTGCAAAAAGCCCTCAAGTTGGCATTGTTACATCTGACATGGCACATGCAACTCATGTGACTTCGAAGACCAAAATACCCCTTAAATTATGGAATGCCCCCTTTATGACCTTTTTTATATTTGCAGCCCTGAAAATAGAAATCTCTCATCTTTTGTCATCTGTTCTCTTCTTGCTCACACCCAGGTTTGGGCCCCGAACTCTTTTTTTTGGTTCTAATTTTATGGGGGTTATCTGCAAACGTGGTAACTTATAAGGGGGTTTTCTGCCATTTAGCAGTTTAGTGCAATTTTGAAATTTATTAAGAGTTTGCGGCAAAACGCTGATAGCTATTGGGATTTAGCGTAATTTATCCCAAAGAGAGGCAGCACGTGCAGTGTAGAATGTATGTCCAGGGCATCGGGTTTTAAAATTAAAGGCTTAATCGCGGATACCCCCCTTTGTCCTCGGCGGTTTATTTTGTTAGAAAACAATTTTCTCTTTCTATAAAAGGTAGAATAATTATTACCTGGGGTCTCTCCGCAAATCAACCCTAAAAAAACATGTATTATATTCGAAGAAGATATCAACGAATAAAACACGACGCAGATGGGAAAATCGCACCAAATTGCAGTAAAAACTAAATCTTTTGCCCTTCAAGAAACAACAACAAAGACGAGGGGCGGGGGGACTCACAGGATCGCTGGCAACAAGGCGAGAAATTCGATCGACGACCTCGAGATTGTGCTTTGATCCTGCCCAAACCACCTTCATTGCCTCAACGTCGAACCTCGCAGCCTTTCTCTCATCCGCCAAGTAATCGATCGCCTCCATTTTTTTTCCCCCAATTCTTTTTTCTTCTCCCTTCAAAAGTATCCACAAAAATGGGAGGGGGGAGAGAGAGAGAGAGAGAGGAAGGCTTTGTTTGTTTTGTCTGCTTGATTTCGGAGGCGATCGCCGCACGGAAATTAAAGCATGGGCCGGGTCCATGTGTAGACCCGGCTGAGTAAATTGCGTAACCACTATTGCTATTTGTTTAGATTTAAATTTTGGGTTGTTAATAAAAAAAATCGACTCTTACGTGTAATTAGTTATTTAGAAATAAAGTGCCGGATTATAATATGTTTTAATCATGTATTGTAAAATCAGCATTTTAACCCCGGGCTGGTGGCCCGATAGATCGGTGTTGGGCACTCTGAGTAGGATATTGAAAGATTGACCGGTGTATTCGGATCCTCTCTAATTAGGTGGCGATAATTAGTGAGGGTACAGTTTCCTTAATATTGACCATTTATTATAATTTTAAAAGAAGTGATTATGCTATCTATGATTTTATTCATATATTGGTTTTTAAAACACCGTTGTTTAAATAGTTATTTTTTATTCACGATAAAACAAAAAATATAGAAACTAAATTAGAAACTTCTAAAGTACTAATCACATATAGCGCTTTTTAAAATATCATACTTTACATAATTATACTACTTTCATTTTTTTTTATAGATTTATCTCTTGGTACAAATTTCCATGTGGTTTTAGAAACTGAACTTGAAAATTCATGGGTTGTTTTATCTGATATTTAATTGGAGAGTTATTTTTTTATATTTTTTTAATTTCTAAAAAAATCATATTTTACTATTAATTAGAATTTTATTTACCAAAATCAACAATTGTATTTTGAAGACCACTATATGAATAGTAGAAACACTAGACGGCATAATTATTTACCTTGAAATTAGAATAAATGCTTGAATTTAAGTTGTTTGTTAATTTCATATGGGATATAAAAGATTGAAAAAATGGGGAAAAATGACACAAGAAACCTTGAATGTGTGATTTAAAGTCCGAATTTCGGATCTCCGTTGTTAGTAGGACTATTCACATGGTGTCCTTTTTAATTTTTTTTAATAGTTTTGCTACAAGAAAAATAATATCTTCCAAGGGTTGAAATTTTTCCTAGAGGGATAGATATCTCTATCCTTATGTTTTCGAGAGGAGATGTCGGTTTTAATGAATAATATTGTTGTACATTAGCATAAAGAATGTGATATTAAAATTTTGTGGGAATTTAGACACATTGAAAATGATAGTAAACGTTGTGTTTTAGGAATTATTGATATCTTCATATATAATTTTTATTGTTCTTACACTGATTGTATTATGTATTCTACCACCTTTGAATATTGTCTAAGATACAAAAATTCTTTACTATCATCATTAAGTAGAGGTTTAAAAATCAATCTTATTTGGTGCACTATATTATAATGTAACTATACAATATTTAACGAACAAGTTATAATAAAGACACTAAATCAATATAAAGCATCAAAATATTTGACCACATGTAATGCATGTGCATTCTACCTAGTTAGAGTAAATGGCCAAGATTAAAGCAATTAGACCCTCTCTAATTACCACCTAATTGGAGAGATTCTGAGCCTCACCAATGTCATCCGTATCAGCTTAATTGGATTGTTGGTCAATGTATTTCTCTCATAATTGGATATTCATACCTATGTTTTTATTGTTTGGATGACTTGTCATCTAATTAAATATTAATTGGACTATTATCCCCTTCTAATATTTTCTGTGAATTAATACTACTTATTTCAATGATATGACAGAGAATTTTTTGATCATTTGATATAATGGATTCTTTCTATGTGTAATATCTTGATCACTTATGAAAATGTAAATTTGTGACACATCAGATAATTATATTGCATGACATTTTATTTTTGAAAGGAGAACTTTTTTTAAAATAAGCCAGTTTTGCTAAATATTTAGCAAAACCGACCTCCTTTTGGCCAGCTAACCAAAGTTGGTCAAAAAGAGTTCGGTTTTACTAAATTCATTGTTTAAAATACACGGGACTAGTAATCATGTGTGTTTAATGGCCACTAATCGGCCACTAAACAAGAAGTTCAAAACCCACGGGACTAGTAGTCCCATGGATTTTGTGAACATTCAGCACACGAAGAAATCTCAGCCAATAAAGTTCAGTAACAAAAACATCCAACCAAAATAAAGAAATTACTCAGATCAATGTAACCCAAAACCAATTCCAACTAAAACTTAGCTAAATTGCATCCATATTAAGCTCAAAATCATCCGCAACAAGAACAACAACAACAAAAGATTCAACTTTTCGAAATACCCATCAGAATTCACAACCAAATAAATCAATCCAAATGGAGAAAATAGGTAATTGACATTGAAACGTGAGAAGGGTTCTTAATCTTCTTTCCGGTGAGTCCACCATCACCCTGGGACCCTGTGTCGTCGGAGACCACCTCCATCACTAGGTAGACATAAGTGAATCCTCCTTTGTCGAGTTGCCTCAAGATCTTAAACCTACTCTCATTGATCCAAACGTCATCGTCGCCATTGACGGCATCTAAGAGAGCACTCATACCCGAGAACAAGCATCCAATGGTCTTCTCTCGATTTTTTCCTTCTGCTTGCTAATTGATTTGTTGTCTTTGATAATTTGATCGATTCAGAGATGGGATCTGTTCGTGGGAAAATGCAAGAAAATTTGAGAAATAAACTTGTATTAATCTCCCTAAATGACTTAGTAAAAGAATAAGTACAATCTCTCTTCGTAATCCCTCTTTAACTGACTTAGAAAAAGAAATTATAACTTTTCTTATCGGTTTCCCGATTTACAAAAGAGAGAAGGAATCGACAAAGATCATTCCCTTTGTTAGAAACTGGGTTCTTCTTGGTGGCGATGAGAGTTTGATTCTTGTATCCCGTTGACAATCTGAGCACCTCGCTTCGTGGAACATTGTCTATTCCTCTAAACTTAACGCCGAGAAGAACTTGCAAGGCAAGTTTAGAACTCTAAAAGAGTTTATGAACTCTGTGAAAGAGTTAATTTCAGAAATGATATCAATCCCTTTTAACTAAAATTAGAGAATAACTGATCTCATAGTTCTTCAACCGATAACAGTTCAAAGAGCCAAGCCAAAAGCTCCAACAATGCTTCAACAAGAGCTAATAAAAGCCAACCCCTTTCTTTCTCTCTTTTTTAAGCTATCAAACTAGCTATTTATAGGGTTTAAGGGGTGTAACTGACCCCTTAAATTGCTCCTTATTAGAAGCTTAATTACCCCCATTAAATAGGTAACCATTCAAGTGATTTGAAACAGTCAAAAGGCGAGGTTCACGTTCAGCTTCAATACGCGGAGGTGAGCCTCGCGTTTAGCTTTTGAACATGGGAGTGACCTCCGCGTTTTGTTGATGAAACGCGAGTATCGCGTTTATTGATGAAACATGAAGGTAGCGTTTGGCTTCGGAGATCAAAGATCATCAAGTTGTAGTCTCTGCGTCACCTCTGCATCAAGTCTTCTCAGGATATAAAGGTTGTCGTCTTGTAACCCTTGTTTACTGGCTTCTGAAGATGTGAGAGTCGTCAAGTTGTAACTCTCGTTCGTTGTCGTTGAAGTTATTAGACCGTAACTCTCATCGACAGTATCTTGTGAAGATCAGCTATCCTATTTTAATTGAAGAGGGATGGAACCTCCTGAGATTTGTAAGGATTCATTCTAGGCGACACCCACTTGCTAGGGTTTCAAGAAGGCTCTGGCTAGGGTTTCCCCTTGCTTGGGTCAAAAGTTGATATTTTTATTACCTTGAATCTATTACAACTTTAATCGTTACAATAAACTCAAATGAATAAAAAAATTAATCTTTTTATAAGATCTCTTTTACAATGAAAATAAAAGATTACATTTCTTATCAAACTATACACAGATCCTTTTTATTAGTCTTTGTTTTGCGTGGGATCTTTGCCTGTGCAGGGAACGTTGATATCCATGGACCGCCACGGATCAGATCCGGTTGACAAAAAATTGACAGAGTTCCAACTTCACCAAGGAAGTATTCGTTTGAAGCCATGAAATCGACCAAGCAAAATCAGTAGCTCTTCTCGAGATTAAGACCAAGTCTAATCTAGAGGAATGGACGGACGGGGCTTCAGATCTCTCGAACTCTCCCTCTTTATGCTGAAAAACTTTACCGAGATCAGTTAGCCTTCTCTAAAATTCGTTCTCCCTTGCTCTCCAACTCGGCAGCACCTCCTCCTCTTGATAATAAATCGCCCCTGTGAAATGAGCCCTTAGGCCTGTGTTTATAGGCTTCAGTTAGGGAGTTTTCGGATAAGAATGAGTGATTTGACCTTATGTTCAGTTGACAATGACCTAACCACGTTTATGGATGATATCCAATCAGTTGGGAAGCTTTGGAATGAATAAATCCCGAGAAAATATCAAAAAACACATTTTTGGGAGTTGTCCGCGAAACAAGATCGCCTGCTAACCCGCACCGAGTCTGATCCACGCTGGCACGGGTCGGCCAGCTCCGACTCGCGCTGGCGCGGCGCGGCCAGATCCGACCTGGGCTGCGCGGGTCGGCCAGCTCCTACTCGCCGGTGACGCGGGTTCAGCCAGCATCCAACCCGCGTAGGCGCGGGTCACGCCATCACCGTCCCGCGCTGGCGTTAGGTCGGCCCGTTCTTAACTAAACTTCTTTTTTTCTTTTTAGCACTTTGCGACTTTTAGGGACTTGTATTTTCTGTCGTTTTACGTATTTGATTGTCTTGTTGACTTGCATGCATCGTTAACTTGCTTCATACACTCGTTAGCTTCTTTATGGCACTTAGAACTGACTGACATGCGCGTCGAGCACTTTGGATCTGATCGACAAGCGTGTCGAGTACTTTAGATCTGACCGACAAGCACGTCGGGCACTTAGGATATGACCGACAAGTGTGGCGGGCACTTTGGATCTGACCGATAAGCACATCGAGCACTTTGGATCTGACCGACAAGCACGTCGGACACTTTTGATCTGACCGACGTGCGCGAGCTGACTGACGTGCACAAGCTAACTGACGCGTGCGGGCTGACCGATAGGTGTGAC